GGTGTATAATAAAAGCAAACTCTCTGAAAGAGAACCAATCTTTATTTGTGTCCTACACATATTGATTACTGCTGGTACATGTAGTTTAATCATTTGCTTACTGTAAATCCAGCTAAGGATGCATCACAAGTGTTAGGCAAAATAAAAAAAATCAAATTAATGAATCATGGCTTTTTGCTGAATAGAAATACACATTACAGGTGCTCATTATCAAAATGTTGACTCAAAGCCTCCCTGATTTGAATTGCCCCCTCTTGTGCCCCCCTAATATCCCTAGTATCAGGCTGCTCAAAATCAGCAGCCTGGTGATCTGACTTAGCGCTCCACCCCTGGGCAAACTTTTCACCCTTAGCCTCACAAAGATTATGGAGCATGCAGCAGGCATCTATGACCATGGGAATGTTTTCCTCACTTAGGTCTATCCTGCCATAAAGGCATCACCAGCGCGCTTTTAATCTACCAAAGGCACATTCCACCATCATTCTGCACCTGCTCAGCCTATTCTGGAAGTGCTCCTTGCAGCTGTCTGGGTTTCCCATGTAAGGCTTCATGAGCCGATGGGAGTAAGGTGTATGCTGGGTCTCCCAGGATCACTATGGGCATTTCAACACCCTCCACTGGAATCTTCCAGCCTGGAAAGAAAGTCCCTGCTTGCAGTTTTCTGTACAGTCCAGTGTTCCTGAAGATGTGTGGTCATGCACCTTCCTGGACCACCCTGCATTGATGTCAGTGAAACACCCAGAGTGATCAACAAGCGCCTGTAATACTATGGAGAAGTACCCATTTCTATTGATGTTTTCCATCACAAGATGGTCCAGGGCCAAAATTGGAACATGCGTTCCATCTATCACCCCGTTGCAGTTAGAGAATCCCATTGCCCATCCACTATTTCATGCACATTGCCAAGAGTCACAGTCCTTCGTAGCGAGATGCGATTAATGGCTCTGCACACTTGTGTTAACAGGGCACCCGCAGTCGACTTCCCCACTCCCAGCTGATTCTGACTGACCGGTAGCAGTCTGGAGTCACCAGTGTCCTCACAACGATCGCCAGGCTCTTCTCCACAGGAGGCTGCTCTCATTTGGGTGTCCTTGTGCCGCAGGGCTGGGGCGAGCTCCGCACACAGGTCCAGGGAGGGGGCTTGCAACATCCGACAGTTCTGTAGCCGCGGCTCGTCATCCCAGACTGGGCAGCTGGTAACTGCAGATAGTGGGAACGGGGGGACGCAATGACGGGCTCCCCACCACCACAGCCACGGTCAGCTTCCTGGTGACTGCAAAGGGCCCCTCCAGCAACAACCTCATGACCACGACGCCTGGGAGATCACCCACCTCACCCACACTTAAGGCTGGCCCTGCCAGGGTCTTTCTGAGGGAAAATGGCATCCTAGGCAAATTTGTATTTTTGCACCTTGGCCCCTGCTGCCTCCCCCAGCCCCCTACCTGCCATATCGCCCCTGGCCCCCACTGCCTCCCCACCTTGCCCCAACTCCCTGAGCTCCCTTCTGCGCACCCAGGCAGGCTAGTCCAGACCTGCACTCAAGCAGGTACATACATTTCCTTGCTGGATTAATACTTATTTCACCAGACCTGTGTCTTCCATGAAGAGGAGTTATTCTCACGGGAGCCATGCAGCTGCTGGCAAAGAAGGAATGGGACTCAGCCGGCTTCCCCAGGCCCCCTCTGGCAAAGGGCTGCGCTGCCAGCCCGGTCTCACTTCCCGGCTCTGGGCAACGCCTAGTGGGGTTCAGTGGGAGCGCTCACTGTTGGAGTCTTTCCCACGCACATTCCTTCCACCGGGATCAGTCCGACTCGCTCCCTGGCAGAACTTGGGGGTTGGGGGCATGTGACCCAGCATGTCCCCCCCC